CTTAGGCCTGGCCAGTCCTGCGAGGCTCACCTACTCTGCTATTGGAGACTCTTTCTTGCACTTCCTACCCCCATCCAGTCCACCAAACCTATTATGTACCCCCTATATGCCTGCTGTGCCCTGGCAGAGTATTTACCCCCTTAGGAACGTGGCTGTGCCATTTCCTTCTGGCATGGGTAACTGTGAAAGTGTTAGGAATCCTCGGCAGGCAGAGGTGAGACTCGGAGAGGCTAGCAGTCCTCCATCCTCCCTAACTCCCCGACGTGCCTAGGGTCTTGGCTGTGTGGCTCCACAGTTGAGGTTGGACGCTTCCACATGTCCTGTGATGGCCAGAGCCTGGGGGAAGTGGGGACCCAAGCACAAGGAGGGGCTATGAGCCCCACAGGGAAAGGCAAGAAAATGGAGGCTGACCAGGGCCTGCTTCAGTGGCTCAGCTGGTGTGAAGCACACAGTGAGAGGGCTGCCCTGGTTCACCCACCCACATGCAGTGGGAAGCAAGAACCTTCTAGAAGGATCCCTTGCTTTATAAGAGCTGGATGCAAGTCGGGTCAAGTGTTTCTCGGTGAAACCCTTGGAGATCTGGAGGCTGGGGGTAGGGCACCCTTGGGCTCCCAGCAGAGAGATATCTGAATGTAGGGGTGTGTGTAAAGTCGTGCAGCTCAGAGGGCAGAGGCAGTCGTTCTCACCAGCAGCCTAGCACACAGCACAGCTGATAGGAGGGTGGACATCCTATCCTGACTGGCCATGGTCCTGAGGAGGAGGCTGGGCCTGGTGACCTCTGTCCTTTGCCCCTGACCGGATGTACCCTCTGTGGGCAAACACACTGTAGGGAAGCAAGGCATTGATTTCCAGCCTGTTAACGTGGGCTTTCTTCATCCGTAAACAAGCAGTGCAGCCCTAGATAAGAGGGACGTCAGAGGGACAGGGAGGATTGTTGTCTGGTCAGGATGATGACATGGGAGGTGGAATAACCCCAGGAGCATATGCACCTTCTGTGCCAAGGACCAGCCGGACACACTGCTCACCTGCCCTGGGTGTGTGTTCCAACAGCCTGCTGTTGTCTTGCAGCAGGGAGTGTGTGTAGGGGGTGGTCTTAGTGGTCCTCTCAATCTGGGCTTCCAGGCTTGCACCTGAATTGTGTGTGTGTGCACACTTATGGCGCACCTCCCCGTGGTGAGTGTGCCTCCTGGGGGTCTTGGCTAAGTTGTGGGGAGCACAGCACAATGCAGGAAGCAGGGCTGCTGGGGCCACACTGCCTGTTGATCCTGGGCTCCAGCTCTTTATGTGTGTCCTAGACCTCTCTAGATGTCAGCTCCTTCACCCTGCAGAGTGGTGTGAAAGGCCCCGGGCAGCAGCGTGGTGGCACATGGTAAGTGACTCTGGATACAGAGCCCAGGATGCAGAGCCCAGCTGTGTGGCATCCCCAGGGTTCCTGCTGCAGCCCCAATGTCAGCATCGCCTTGGCCCTGGCGGGGGTTGAGAGTCTGTTGCAGGCGCCTGGCCTGGCTCCTGCCTCAGAGATCCCCATGCCACCACCTTTCTGACCCCCTGTGATTTCTGTGGCTGGAAGGGGAGTGCTGTGTTGGCCTGCAAGCTGAAAAAGCAGGTGGAGATGGGCCCTGGGCTCAGCATGGTTAGGAATAGAGGTGGAAGCTGGAAGACTACAGAGCAGAAACTCCAGCAGTTATGGCGCCACCCACCCACCTGCCCCTAAGGCACGCAGAGGGGAAGGAAGTACCATTTACTGATCACTGTACTAGGTAGAGTATGAGTTAGACTACTATAACAAAGAAATCCCCAAACTTTGTGGCTTAAACAAGATAGCAGTTTATTTTCCTCTGCTTAGATGGTCTCGGAGGGAGCAGCCTGGGCTGGCACAGTGGACTGAGTGCAGGGCACTCAGCCTCTTTTGCTCTTGTTGCTCCTCCAATGCCCACCTTGGCTCCACAGGACTGGGTCAGCTGGGAGAAGCAGGCAAGGGGACGTGTTTCTGCCCTGCCCTCCTGGGATTTGCACACTCACTTCCACTCCCATCCTATTGGCCAGAACTCAGTAACTTGGCCTCATCTGCTGCCAGGGAGGCTGGAAAATGCAGTTGTCATCTGGGCAGCATGAGCACAGCTGAAATGTGGGGCACATGTTGCAGGAGAAGGCAAGGAGGTAGGAGCAGAGAGCAGCCAGGAGTTTCCATGGCAAGCTCATTGTTTTGCCCCAGCTGTGCCCACAGTGGGTCCTCTTTCCCATAAGCTGGCAGCATGGCTACATCTGGTGGTGCCAGGTGAGTTCAGCTCTCCATGGCCTCGTCCACATTCTCAGAAAGGGCATCACTGATAAGTGTGGGATCAGCAGTCAGACTTCCGGGGCAGCAGATTATTAAGAAGGGAAACTCTGTGGGAACAGAGGAGCCAAGAGGCCCTGCGCAGGAGCCAAGATGCCTTGGTTGGGAAACCAAGGCTGCAAATGACACAATCTTGACTCCTGTGGACAGCAAACTCTTGCAATGCCATCACTGTCTGTTCCTGAATAGGGTCTAGAGTTTATGTGGGGCCATGGGAGCTTGGCAGGTGGAGAGGGGGCATAGGCAGAAAGCCTCAGGACCAGGGCTTCCAGGAAAATTGTCATTTTCCTTGTGCTGTATTGGTTCAGGCTATCCAAGGCGAACCTGCGAGGAATGAACATGTCAACCTGCACAGTGGAGACATGAGGAGGGGATCTGAACCTGCACAGTGGAGACGTGAGGAGAGGGCTGAGAGTGGGGGCCATGTCTGAGCAGGTCCCACTTCATTTGGTGATGAGCAGAGACGAAAATGGGACTGGTTCAAAAGATGCAGAATGAGGCAAAGAGAGCGGCATTCAAACACTCAAGGAAAGTGCACATCTCCTTGTGCCCTGCGGGGCCGGGAGGGCACTAGAAACGCCCTGCTGTTTTCAATAAGGAAGAAAGAGAGAGCCCAGGCTGTAGTGCAAGGGCACCAGGACCAGGTAAAAAGAGAGCTGGAAGGGATGGGGTGGGGGGCGGATTGCAAGAAAACAAAAGATGCAGGGTGGAGTTAAAATCCACATGGGAGAACGTCAGGAGTGGGCATGAGGACAGGGAACTCCCCGCACTGCTGCAGAAGACAAATGATGACAGCTCAGGCGCTGGCTCGGCTCCGGTTCTGTGAGGTCCTGCTCTGTGCCCCAAACAGCCGGACCCGTCAGGGACCGCAAAGGAGCCCCTCCTGGAGGTCTGGACCCGGAGATGAGTGACCAGTCCCCCACTGTCAGCCTCCCCCGGCCCTGCTGCCCCACTCTGCTCTCCAAGCCGTCCTGGCGCACGGACATATCCGCACCTAGCACTGATAGAGATCGCAGCCGGTCCCCAGGCTGTTCTCAGAACCCAGCCGGGACGTTCCCTGCTGTTTCCACCCTCTGGGTTCTGTGAATTTGACCTCAACCCTGAGCTGAGCTGACATTGAAAGACAGCAAGAGCAGTGTCTGCAGCAGGCGGCTCCAGCGCGAAAGTGAGGCGCAAGGCTACCACGGACCCAGCTGAGCGGGGCCAGGGAAGGGAGCAGGCAGCAGGTGCTGGGAGCTGGAAATGCCTGATGAGAAGAGTGAAAATACATTTCTGCAGAAATAGGTCTAAATCATTCCAAATGTGTTTAAAACCTAAATGCAAATGTCAAATATTGATAGAGAAAGAGAAGACATTTGCAATGTGAAAGTTATAACACATTACTAGTCTGGCTGTAAATCCCCCATGATATGAACAGCCAGGGAAATTGTGTGTAGGATTGAAGCGTGGCTCTCAGGGTCTCCTCCTTCCCACAGAAGTCTTTGCATTATGCATGAAATGAAGAAATGACATCGATGCCATTTCTGTAGGGTTAATTGGTGAGTTGTTGAACAGCTACCCTCAGAGGGCTCTGTTTAAATGCACAAATGTCACCTTTACAGAGAAATGAAGGACACCTGTCTGTTTCCACAGCAAAGTGGCAGTGCTCTTCTCTCCCTGAATCCCTGGACAAGGCGTGAACACTCACACTGATGTGGCACTGCTGGGAGGACAGCGGGACCACTGCCCATCAGAGTGGTGCCACACAGGAGTCCTGGTTCCCACCTTGGGCTGGGTGGCAAAGGCCCCTCCCTGCCCTCTCCCGGCCTTCCCAAGCTGGTGGCCTTACCACAAATCTGGGCGCACAGCTGGGATTCCATCTACATCCTGGCAGAGGATGCCCTGCACAAAGCTGCCAAGGTGCAGTGGGCTCAGTCTTCCTGATGCCTGAGTCTCTTTGCCAATCTCTCACACTGGCAAAATGCTTTCCAGATGGTCACGAGGAGCCGCAGCGGCCGGAGTGTACTCCACTGGGCATCCTACTCAACCCCTTCCCTGGTGTGAAAGAACCCATCACTCTGGCAGCCACTGTCTCTTCGGCCTTTCCTGGAGGGTTGTGGGGCTTCTCAGCCCCAGTGGCTGCACTTGGAAAGCCCCTATTTGATGTTTCAGTTTAAAGAATATGAATTCTTTGAAATCATGAAATAATATGATTACATATTATGTTCTGTTGCAATTATGTAATTTATAATATATAAACAATATATTGTACTTAAAGAGGGAGGGTGGGAGGAAGGAGAGGAGCAGAAAAGATAACTATTGGGCACTGAGCTTAATACCTGGGTGATGTAATAATATGTACAACCCCTGTGACACACATTTACCCATGTAACAAACCTTCACATGAACCTCTAAACCTAAAATCAAAAATTTTTTAAATTATAATATATAAACAATGTAATATAATATAACATGTATGTTAATATTTGATATATATGTTATATACTAGTATATAATATATAACATATAATATAGTATAGTGTAGTATATTATACATATAATACATATAACAAAATAACATATATACTAATATAATAAAATAATAAATAACTAAATAATATGTTATTATACCTATATGCATATAGTTACTTTATAGTACATATAGTTACTTTAAATAACACAACTAAATTATATACTGTTACTTACAATTTCAATAATAAAGCTATATTATATGCAACATAGCTGAAAATTTTAACTGTATACAACCACCGCCTTCTCTGCAAGGCACCCAGGGACTTGCTTTTTGCACCTTCTCCCACCTTGAAAGCACCTCCATCCTCCTCCTGGAACTTCGAATCTGTTTAAACAAACAGAAGAATTTAGAGCCAGACTCCCCATAAGGGATGATAATAATAGTACCTTCCTCATAGGGTCATTGTGTGGACTAAATGAGTTAAAATATGCAACACACTTAGAATAGCATCTGGCAGAGAGCAGCAGCTGCAGTTGTCAGTGGCATTGTATTATTATCCATTGTTACTTGAGTATACCCTTAATATCCACCCTTCACCCCAGGAAACTTAATAAGACATTTCTTCTCAATGAATACAGCACTCTTCCCACTAGACATTTTATTAAATCAAATGCTTTCTGGCATCTGTGCCTAAACATCTTACTTGCAAATAGGTTTTTGTAGGGTGAACACATTCTGTTACAAAAGGGTTGCAGGGCTCAGTTGAAATTGCATCTTCTCAGTGTTCATTCACACATCATTAAATACTCAACAGTGGGAAGAACTGAAAGCTGATGTGTTCAAGTCACTTCTAATTGCATATCAAGCAATAAACAAGATAAACCCAATCTGAAATTGTAGTGGTTTTACAAGGCCGTGCACATTTCCTGGGTTTGGTTTGTATTCCCAGACAGGAAGCTAATCACTGGAGTGCTCTGTTCAATACCAGACTCCTGGGACTTCTACCTAGGTCTCTGTCCTCTTATGCTGTCACTCCTAAGACCTCCACAGAGGGGCAGGCCCTGCATCCAGAAGAGGGGCTCATGATGGGGGCTGGTGACTCTCCAGTTTGTGACCAGGGAGTTGAGTGTGAGGGGCATCTTATGTGTCTGATGTTTTCCTTCCCCACTACCCTTCCTCTGTGCTGCCCTCAGACGCCTGAGGATAGGGGCAGATTGCATCCTCAAGTCCCATTTATGTCAGTTCACTTCCAGCTTCTGCTGCCTGGGTACCCATGAGGCACCCCCCTCCTCTGCTGCCCTTATGAGAGGGATTTTGGACAAATTTGTCATATCCAGAGAGATGTTCTCATTCTTCCACAGACACTGGGACACAGACATTCTCAGGCTTCTGGAGACACTGGTTATTCATAACACAGAAGAGAAAAGATAGAGCTTTTCCTAACATCTTCCAACTGTGCACAGAAAATTCGCTCCAGGTAGGTCAAAGAAGCAACCATAAACACACAATGCTAAAAGTACAAGAAGTAATGAGACACAGGGAAGAGCACTGTATTCATCAAGAAGAAATGTCTTGTTAAGTATCTTAAGGCAAAGGGTGAATAGGACACACTTATATTCACAAATAGCAGCACGCACCCAGAACACACACAAAAACAAATACAACTTATTGTTTGCAAAGTCCTTGCCAATGTAATATGACAAGAAAAAAAAAAGAGTGACAAGGATAGGAAAGGAAGGGACAAGATGACCTTTACTGCATATGATGTTATTATCTGTCTGGAAGGGCAGAAAATGATTAATTGAAAATCTGCCAGAATTAATAAAACTGTTCAATCAATGGCCAGACACAAGATAAACCTATGGAAATAGATGGACTGATTGCATGTCAATGTATCAGTCAGCAATTGCTGCATAATTGACAGCCCATCTCAAAGCTCAGTGCTCTGAAACAGTCCTGATTTAGTACTAGAGCTGTGATCCTGTGGGTTGGTTGGGAGTCTGCTGACCTCGGTTAATCTTGCTCCTGTGTTTGTGGGTGACAGGGGGTTCTGGTGTGACTCAGGCTGCGCTGGCTGGGGCTCTGCTCCATGTTGCTCACCTTTCTCCTGGGGACAGCAGGCCAGCTGGGGTGTAGTCTATGGCTGCAAGACAGCAAGGCCCACCTTGCAAGCTCATTTCAGACCTTGGCTTGCATCCTGTCTGATCTGACCCACTGGGCAGAACAAGTCACATGGCCAAGCCCAGTAAGAACATACAGCAGAAGGTATGGGTGAATGAGGGGCCATCACTGAGGGCACTAATACAATCAAAATCAACTAAAAAATGCAACAGTAAGTAGCGTTCATGACTTTTATGACAGCAAGAAAAATCACAAGCAACATGGCAGGAAATTGGTAAAAAAAAAAAAAAAAGTGTAATAATATGCTGAAACTTTAATGGAAAACATAAAGAAGACCAACTGGAGTTGCTTACCATTTTTTTTTTTTTTTTTTTTTCTGTATGGGGAGACTCAGTATTGTAAAGATTCCAGTTTCTGTCATATTGATCTATAGTTCATTGCAATTCCAGTACAAATCCAAAGAGGATTTTAACAAATGGAACTGGATTCTAAAATTTATCTGGAGGAGACAATGTATAAGATGCAACCCAATATGACAAGACGATGGTGGTAGAGGTGGGGAGATTGCCTGACAAATTACTGAAAAATCCTATAGAGATTTAAATTGTTTGGTTTTATTTTACTATTTAATTTATTTTATTAATTCTATTTGAGACAGGGTCTTGCTCTGTTGCCCAGGCTACAGTGCAGAGATGCGATCATAGCTCACTGCAGCTTCAAACTCCCAGGCTCAAATGATTCCCCACACCTCAGCTTCCTGAGTAGCTGGGACTACAGGCACACACCACCACACCCAGCTGAGGTTAAACACTTTTTTAATGTGGTGTTATAATAGACAAAGGCAAAGAAGACATGAGGCAACATACAGATTCTAGAAAAGAACTCAAGTACATATGGCAATTTAATATGTTATCAATACAAGGTTACTTATATGATAAGAGAGGAAAGACGGAGCTTCTCCTCACACCATACACAGAAAATCCACTCCAAGTGGGTAAAAGAGCCAACCACAAACACACAATTAGAAAGGTACAAGAAATAACAAGATGCAGGTGCCATTATGGAAAAGATAGACATGCTTGATACTACCGTTTAAACTCCTGCTTAAGAACAGACGCCCTGTGAGTGAAATTAGAAGATAAATACAAGACATGGATAGAAATATATGAGTCATCAACCCAAATATATCTGGAATGCACAAAACTCTTCTACAAATTAGTGAGTAAAATGTAAAAATCCCAATAGAAAAATGGGCAATAGATATAAACTAGTAACTTACAGAAAAAGACATGCAAATGGCAAGTGGGTACATGAGAAGATATCTAACTTTGTAAATATGCAGAAAAACGAAATAAAAAACAATATATCCTGTGGAGGCTGACTACATTGCAAAAATGTAAAAGATTATATCCAAGTGTGGGGGAAAGAGTTCCTCTCTTTACTGTTGATTGTAGTACAATTATTTTTGGAGGATAATTTGGCAAACTTCATGAAAACTTAATCATTCTTTTGGCCATAATTAAAAAAATCAAAAAACAGTAGATGTTGACTTAAATGTGGTGAACAGGGAACGTTTTTACCCTGCTGGTGGGAATGTAAACTAGTACAGTCACTATGGAAAACAGCGTGGAGATTCCTTAAAGAACTAAAAGTGGAACTACCATTTGATCCAGTAATCCCACTACTAGGTATCTACCCAGAGGAACAGAAGTCATTATTTGAAAAAGATACTTGCACACACATGTTTATAGCAGCACAATTCACAATTGCAAATTGTAGAACCAGCCCAAAAGCCCATCAATCAACGAGTGGATAAAGAAACTGCGGTATACATACACAGACACAGACACACACACACACACACAAACACATCTCTCTCTCAGCTATAAAAAGGAATGAATTAACAGCATTTGCAGTGACCTAAATGAGATTGGAAACTATTATTCTAAGTGAAGTTAACTCAGGAATGGAAAACCAAACATCGTATGTTTCTCACTGATATGTGGGAGCTAAGCTATGAGGATACAAAGGCATAAGAATGATACGATGAACTTTGGCGACTTGGGGGGAAAAGTGGGAGGGGGACAAGGGATAAAAGATTACAGATATGGTGCAGGGTATACTGCTTGGATGATGGGTGCACCAGGATCACAAATCACCACTAAAGAACTTACACATGTAACCAAATACCACCTGTACCCCAACAACTTACAGAAAAAAACTGCAATCTTTCTTTGACCTAGCAAACCCATCATATTAAAAATCCACATATAAAGGTATATATACAAGTCTGTTCTTTTAGCATTATGACAGCAAACATTTGTGAACAATCTAAACATTTACTAATGAAGAATCGAGTAGATACATTACAGTACCCAGAAACTAGCTCTTTCATTTGGCAATGAAATGGTCAAGGCTGCACAAAATTTACATTATGTAAACATGACATGCAGGCTTCAGTTTCTGAAATCATCCTATGTGTGAAGTCTGGAATGCAGGTGTCAGCATCCTTGACAACAGTGCCCCAAGCAGCAGGAGCCACAGGAGATGGGGAGGCTGGGGGAAGACCGCAGACCTCAACAGCAGGGCGGGTCAAAATTCTAGGTGTCTTCTGCTTTGTCCTGAAAATACACCTGGAGTCCAACCCTGCTCCTCACCCACTGTGGCCCACAGCGCCCATGATCTCTTGCCTGGACTACTGCAGAATCATCCACAGACACCCCAGCCTGCCCTCACCCCTTCCAGCTGCCCAAAGTACAGCAGCCGGAAGGGCCCAGTTAAAGTCGGTCTGATCGCTTCCTGCCTCTGCTCAGGAGCTTCCTGTGGGCTCCCTGTTTCCCTCGGAGGAAAAGCAAAGACCTCTATGAGGTCCCACAGGACTCTGCTCCTCACTTCCTGCCCAGACCTCACTGCCTGCTACACTTCTCACTCAGCTCCAACCCCATTCCATCCCAGAAGTGTCAAGGGCACAAAAGACAAAGAAAGACTAAGGAGCTGTTGCAGAGTGGAGGAGACCACACGATGTGACCACAGAACACAGAGAAGAATCCTGAACGATGTCCTAGGACCAGCAAGGGACCTCTGTGGGAAAACTGGAGAAAGCTCATTCAAGCCTGGAATTAAGCCAGCAGTCCTGCACCATCTTCATTTCCTAGTCTTGATGAATGCACCCTGGCTATGGGATGTATGGGGGAGGCTGGGGAGGGATATTCAGGAATGGTCTGCACTATCTGCAATGCTTGTAAATCTAAAATTTGAAAATTAAAAATTTATTTATTAATTATAATTAAATCAACTACAAGTTATTCAATTAATATTAATTGATTTAATTAAAATTACTAAAATAATTTAAAATTAAACTCTAATAATTAATTGATTTAAACTAATAATTTAACTTTTTTGAGGTAAATATAACAACAATTAAAACCAAACAAAAGTTACACCTGCCAGCACTCCTCAGCTCTCTCCCCGGCTTTGCTTCTCTCCCCAGCCCTTCCTGCCTCCCAGGCACAGCTTAACGCACAGATTCATTCAGGTTATGCGATCTGTCTTTCTGCACTCCGATGTGCTCCATGAGGGCAGGTTCTGTCTGTTTTACAAACAGTGCTGTAAACCCAGCACCTACAACCTGTATCATCATATTAATCTATACATTCTAGTTTCTGGACACCACAATTTGTTTATCCAATTCTCCTTCAATATATTTTTGTTCTCAAACATTTGCTGTTATAAATAATGCCATAAAGAACAGACTTGTACACATATCATATGTGTACACAAACATATGAATGTTTAACAGTAGGCTTGCAGGGTCAAAGAACAGGCATAATTTAAATTTTCATAAATTTTGCCAAGTTATCCTCCAAAAAGCAATTGTGCTGAGAATATCATTTATTCATTTATCCTATGTATTGCCTGTCTTTCCCCACTGGAATATAGGCTTTGGGAAAATAAGGCGTTGCCTGGCTTGATCAGTTCTGCAAACCTAGCTCCCAGAACAAATATTTGTCAAGCAATTGGCATGGGCAGGCAAGAGCTACACTGAAATTGATGGGATAAGATACAGACGTTTAAACCTATGATTTGAAGTTATGAAGGTACTGTGATGGACCTTCACAATTGAGTGGCTCCTCAAAGCTGTCCACATATGAATTCCCAGAACCTGGGAAGGTGTTACTTTACAGGGAAGCAGGGACTTCCTTCTTGGATGTGATGAAGTTAAGGGTCTGGAGATGGGGAGAGGATCCTGGGTTATCTGGTGGATCCAGCGTAATCACGAGGGTCCTTATGCAAGGGGCAGTAGGAGGAACAAGGACCAAGGAAGAGGTCAGAGAGAGACTGGAGGATGCCGAGCTGTGGTTCTGAGGATGGAAGAGGGGACAAGGAGCTGGGGAATGCAGGTCGCCTCTGGAAGCTGGAGAAGCACAGGAGATGGAGTTTCCCTTAGATGCTCTAGGAGGAACCAGCGCCACTGATGGCACCTTGATTCTGGGACTTCTGATTTCCAGAACTGTGAGAAAATAACTAGGTGTGGTTTTAAGCTCCCAAGTTTGTGGTCATTGTTACAGCTGCAGCAGGAAATTAATCCAGGTAGAAGAATTAAAACAAACATGTAAATCGCATACACAGAGGTGGGCAGGAGACGGAAGAACGCCAAGTCCCCGAAGCCTCAGCTTTTGTAACTGGGAAGCAAGAGATACAGTCTAAAATCGGTGACCAGGGACACAGGTTCTTTCACATTTCAGCTACGGTGATGGACAGAATGCAAGGATGAAAATCAAAACAGCTCCAAGCAGCTGCCCGAACCTGGAGGCGGAGGGGCTGTCACTTGCCTGCATTTGCTCTTCGGTGTAGATGAATTTGTCATCATGTGTGCATCTGACTTCCATAAAACACTATGTTAAAACCTGCCTGGGTGCTGTGGCGAGGTGCAAGGACCGCCTGCAGTAGTGCCACCTCGGAGCCCACACATGGCACACCCAGGGTCCAGCAACCCACAACTGCTCACCCAGACATCCAGCGGGGACACCCAGCAATTGCAGGAATAGGATGTCCAGTCAAAGAAGGAAGGCACCAAGTCCGTGGCCCGACTGTGGACTGTGGACACGTCCGCTAGTGGACACTGCACCCCCACCATCCCACCATGCACAGGCGGCTTCCAGGGTTCTGTCCACCTTCACAGAGGTCACGAGGGGCATGGGGCAGTGAATGGCCACCGACCTGGCTGCTGGCGCTCGGGAATGCATGCGTGTGTGGTCCCTATACCTCTTGTAGCACTGCTGCTGATGGAACCAGGCACTCAGTGGTGCTGGGCAAAGCTCTGCCCAGAGCAGGAGGCCACAGCCTTTGCAGGGGCTCAGCCCCACCTCCTCCCCACAGCAGGCGTGGCAACTAGAGCATGACTCTGGCCCTGGGGCCTCAGTTTCCTCATTTGTCAATGGCATATTTGACAAGGGCTCTTACCCATTGAAGCTTTAGGATTCTGAGAGTCCAGGGGCGATTCTTCCTCTGTGGCCCTGGCCCGTTGCTGGGAATGGGTGTGGAGGGACTCGGTTCTGCCGTCTCCAGGGTTGAGAGCGCTCTGCTGAAGACATCAAACTGGAGATCACATGTGTAGTGCACATGCTACACCTGTGCAAGTGTAGCCAGATGTGAAGACAGCGACAGAGCCTGGGCCACCAGCTGATACCCTTCCTGTCTGTGTCACCTGGGTGGGTCAAGTCCCCCCCAGCCCCAGCTTCCTCACCTTCCTCGCTATGAAGCTCACCATGCCCTCCTGCCACCTCTCCGGGACTGAGGATCAAATGGAGGAATTCCAGAGGGTCCTGACCTTGTAGCTGAGGGTGTGATGAAGCCAGGGAAGCTCAGGGCCACCCTTCCCCTGCTAAATCAGGCAGGTGGCTAGAGGCAGCCTGAAGTGTAGTTTGATCAGCATCCTAGATTTTACTAGTGATCCTCCTGCTCTGAACTCTGCTTCCAGCGGAGTTGGGAAAGGCCAAGCAAAGTGGCCCCAGAGGGTAGCTCTGGCTTCCCCCAAGACTGCTGAGAGAGAGGGGCCCAGCATCCACAGGGCAGTTTGGGAACTCCAGGGGACCTCTCCTTAGGCTACTGCTGGAGGGTTCTCATACAATGCTGCACGCATGTGTGTGCAATACCAGTGTGCTCATGTGTGCATCTATATGTGCAATACTTGTATGCATGTGTAGCCAGGTGAACCCAAACATGTGTGCACAGGAAAGCACTCTCATCTCTGTATGTGTGTATGTGTGTGTCTTCAGGGCTGTACTGCATGTGCATTTATACAGATACGCATGAGTTTGCACAGGCGCTTGTGCAGGTGCACTGGCATTCACATACATGTACATGAGAAGCATATGACAGCCTTGCTGTCAATTTCATTTCATGGTTACATTTTGTTTGACTGGCATGTTGTGTTAAAAGAGTCAGACCTGGCATTTAAAACCAGAAGATTTTACAAATCCACATGTTCAGCTTTTTTTGAAAAACTGCGGCCCTGTTCCTGCAGGGCAGCACCAATCATAGCAGATATGTTCACCCTGTCCTGCCCCCCTAAAGTGGTCACATGACCTCCAGTTTGTCAGAGTCCACAGCACTCCCTATCACCTCACACTTTACCTGCTTCACCCATTTATATTATCTCCTTGACCCCTCTAGGAAGGTGCAATCCTTGGATAAAGCCCAACAATTTAGTAGTATGCTTAAGCCTGGTCTACACTGTTTCCCTGCTCCAGCCTGGCCAGCTTCCCTGCCCACCACCTCCACTCATCTTGAACCACTTTGCCTGCCAGATCATTCTGTGCCTCCCCAGGCTTCTCCTGATCCATGTCCCTGGTCTGCTGTCGCTCCTCATTCCCTCTCATATGGAGTCCTACTCTTCCTCCAGTTTCCCCTCCCCTGCACTCTACTCCAAGCCAGTGGGCTTCACTGTTCATCATGCCTCTGGCAGACCATGGGAAAAGATTATTCTCTTGTAAGCTGGGACAAGAAATGCTCCCAAGGAGAGAAATATCTTTGGAAAAAAGTCTTGATATGCCTGTAGTGTAAAAGGTGAGGGTTTAATTGTGATCAGATAAATCACTAAAAACACAACAAAATAACTCTTAAAATGCAACAATAAGAAAAGGAACACCTTGATTCAAAAATGGTCAAAAGACCTGAACATTTTGCCAAAGAAGATTTAGAGATGGCAAATATGTGTATGAAAAGATCCTCAACATCATATGTCATCTGGGAAAATAGCAATGAGCTACCACCACAAATCTGTTAGAATAGCCAAACCCAAAACACTGACAATATCAAATGCTGGCGATGATGTGGAGCAACTCTCAGTCATTGCTGGTGGGAAGGTCAAATGGCACAGCCACCTTGGAAGACAACTCGTCAATTTCTTACAAGACTAAACATACTCTTATATGATCCAGCAATTTTGCTACTTGGCATTTACCCAAATGAATTGAAAACTTATGTCCACACAAAAGATTGCATGCAGATATTGATAGCACCTTTACTCATGATGCCAAAACTTGGAAGTAACCAACATGTCCTTCAGTAGGTGAATGAATAAACTGTGGTGCATCCAGACGATGGAATATCATTCAGCACTAAAAAGAAATGAGCCAGCAAGCATGAAAAGACATGGAGGAAATTTAAATGCTTGTTACTAAGTGAATCTGAAAAGACTACATACTGGATGATTCCAATTCTGTGACAATCTGGAAAAAGCAAAACTATGGAGACAGGAAACAGATCAGTGGTTTCCAGGGGTTATGGGAGAGGGAGGGATGAACAGGCAGAACACAGGATTTTTAGGGCAGTGATGCTATTCTGTGTCATACTACAAAGGTGGATACATTTGTCAAAACCCACAGAATGTACACCACTAGGAGTGAACCCTAGTTTAAACTGTGGACTCCAGGTGATAATGATATCAGTGTCTGTTCATCAGCTAAAACAGGTACCACTCTGATGGAAAATCTCTACTTTCTACTTGATTTTGCTGTGAACCTAAAACTGCTCAAAAAATAAAGTCTACTAAATTAAAAATTAAGTAAGTACAGCCATGTCTTAAAAGAGAGTTAAGTTCTAAAACCAGCTCAGAAGGTGAAATCCCAGTTAACTAAAATTACTTTTGAAGATTTTCTTAAATCATCCCTAGAGCACAGTATGCCACATGTCGGCCAACACTGACGTTTTATCCCTCTGCACGTCCGTCACAGATATATTGCCCTCCCCCTTAGGTCAGATGAGTAGTTGACTTGCATTCAGAGGCAGCTAACTTTGTATCACAAATACCTACCCATCAACACTAGGATCAACGTAAAGGAAGCTAGAAACTCCTGCTGCCATAACAGGAGTCAAGAAATGAAGTAGCAAATTTTAATCTCCTACCCCCAGGCTAATCCCTGCGCATACGGAAGGGAGTGAGGGGAAGAATTATCCCACACAATTTAATACATATTTTCCTCCCTCATATTTTGGAAATTACTATAGTTCAACTCATGTAGATTAAAGGTATGTATGAGGTGAGTCCTCAGAGTGAGGTTGTCACAAAGTTGCATAGCATGAAAACATGGGAGGAGTTGGGGGGAAAGGACCAAGTGCAAGAAGAGACTGGGCAGGGCAAGAGCAGCTAGGTGGAGGCGTCCAGGGAGAGGAGCTGTTTTCCCATGGGTCCAAGTTGGTGTCGTATAGAACAGAGAGAGCCAGCCTGGAATCAGGAGCTCAGAGAACAAGGTGACCAGAAAGATATTATTGTTAGCAGCAGAATGTATCTGAGTCACCAACGTATGTTAGTGGCAGCAAATCTGTACGGGTTTGCAGCAACCCCAGTTCTTGCCTCCTCGGAAGAATCTGACCGAGGGACAGAAGACAGAGTGAGAGACACCCAGGCAAGTTTTCAAGCAGGAGTGAGAGTTTATTAAGAAAGTTTTAGAGCAGGAATGAAAGGAGGTCAAGTACACTTGGAAGAGGGCCAAGTGGGTGACTTGAGAGATCAAATATGTGGTTTGACCATTGACTTGAAATTTATACATTGGCAGGCTTCCAGAGGGTTGTGTCTCTTCTCCCCTGATTCTTCCCTTGGGGTGGGCTGTCTGCATGCACAGTGACCTGCCCGCACTCAGGAGTGAGCAATGTGTTTACTGAAACTGTGCGCATGCTCACTTGAGGCATTCTTCCCTTTCCAGTCACATCTCCCTAGAAGGTCATAAAGCAGCTCAACTCTGCCATTTTGCCTCTTAGTGTGTATGCTTGAGCCCATTCACCCAACTCCTGAGATCTTATCACAAAGCTGCTGATCACCAGTTTCAGGTTCTTTCTATCTATTGGGAGACTGCCTTTCCCTGGTGCTGGCTGCAACCAATTATTGTTTTAGAAAGACAGTGTAACAACCACCTGATCATCACCTGATGGTGGCCTGACATTCTGGGGTGTAAGGCCCTCTCCTGCCTTGCTCATGTCTGACTAGCTACCTATTGCTTCTTGGGAAATGTATAGACATCTTTGGAGGGACATGAACACCACAAGGCATAGACGGAGGGATGTAGAAGCAATGCTGCCCAGCCCCCAGGGCACAGGCAGGCCCTGTTCACCCTCCCTTATATTTGGGGCTTGTGGAGCTACTTGCAGTGTTTGATTTAATGGGTTTGCTGCTACCCAGAGAAGGAGAATGGATGGAACCCAGAAGATTCACAGGGGGGCTCCCGGGACTTCCACCTCTGGTCAAATACACCTCCATTGTCCTCAAGGTCAAAGTGACCTGGCCTGCTTAGCTTGCAAATGTCTCCATCTCCTGGATGTTTCTGTGGCTTCCAGGAGCACGTGTTCTCAGGCCATCCTGAGGGCTCCCTGGTCCTCCTGAGGGGGCACTCAGCCCCTGCTGCCCCAGGCAGTGGCAGCCACGGGGTCTGAGGAAGAGCCAGGCAGGCCCTGGGCTGCCCCCAGCCCCACTCTACCTGTGCACTCTCTTCCCCACTCTGGCCTGTGGACTCCCTTCCCCACTCCGGCCCGTGGATTCCCTTCCCCACTCCAGTCCGTGCACTCCCAGCCCCACATCAGCCCATGGACGACCCTTCCCCACTCCGACCTGTGGACTCCCTTCCCATTCCAGCCCTTGCACTCCCTTCCCCACTCCAGCCCATGGACTCCCAGCCCCACTTTCCATATTGCTCTGGCTTTTTCTTGTGAAGGGCCAGATAGTAAATGTTTTAGGCTTTACAGGCCACACATAGTCTCTGCCACAATTCTTTGTTTGCATTCTTGTCTCTTACAACTCTTTAAAAATGCAAATACAGTACCCAGCTTGCACAGAGACAGACAGCAATGGGATTTGGCTCTAGAGCACGGCTTGCCAATCCCTGTTCTAGAATCTTAAAAACCTCCTTCTCTTATGTCGGAATCAGCCATGACCTAGTTGTCAGAGGGTCCTAAGCCTTGGCCTCTCTTTTCCACATTAGAATATTTTCCTTCCCAGAACTGTAGCATTTTCTTTGCCTCATACAATGACGGCTTTTTATTCAGAAGTGGCATAGTCCAGGGAGGTGCAGGAGAGGAATTTCAAAGGATAGGTAGAAAGCACACCTCCTTCATGAAGTGATTTGGAGTCAGGCAGGCCTGAGTTCTAGTCCTGGCCCAGTCTCTCACTCGAGATGTGTCTCTCTGAGCCTCAGTTTTCTGGTAAGATGCAGCCGGAGACAGCAGGGCTGCTGTGAGCCCTAAGCAGTGTGTGCTGGCCCTCAGAACCTCCTGGGCTTCCATCCCTCCCCTCCCGCTCTCCTCCTGTCCCCCCTGACTCCCTCTTCACTCTTGTTTAGGAAGCCCAGGATCCCAATGTCTGGGAACTTCCCTGCTCCACGTTGACAAGATGGAGCCCTAGGTCCCGCCCCTCCTCCATCTGGGGCAAAGTCGATTGGACCATGTGGCACTGGCTGGGCCCATCCTACCACTTAGCTTCCAAGACAGGGTGTTACTGTTGAAAAGTGCTCCCACCAAGAAGAGATATGTTCTAACTCTAACTGTACTGGGAGTTACAGTCCTAACTCCCAGTACTTCAGAATTCGACCTTGTTTGGAGATAGAGTTGTTACAGATGTAATTATTTAAGATGAGGTCACACTGGAGTAGGGTGGGTCTCTCTAATGCAATATGACCGGTATCCTTATAAAAAGGGGTGGACACAGACACACAAATGGGGGAACCCCACGTGGTCATGAAGGCAGAGATCAGGGTGACACGCCTACAAGCTAAGGAACGCCGAAGATTGGCAGCAAACAGCAGGAGCCAGGAGGGTGACCTGGAACAGGCACTGTCTCAGAAGCAGACATCCCTGCCCACAGTTTCATCCTGGACTTCCTTCCCCCAGAACTGTGAGACAAGAGACGCCTGCGGCCCCTAGTGTGTAGTGCTATGGCAGTCCTAGCCAACTCTATACAAAGACTGTATCTTTCTCAAGGAAAGCAAGCCGTAAAAAGATGGCCTTGGGGTCCTGGCTGTCTGTCTGTGTTTGCCAAAATAGTGGAGTTTTCTGTGATCAGAGAGAATGAGGCTGATGCAATAGACAGACAGAAGGGATTGCCACAATGTGGGGGCATGGAGGGCCTTCATGTCTAGCCCTCCCTAGGCTTCGCCTCCACTCCACTCCAGGTAGAGCCCAGTGTTCATTTGTTGAGCTGAGCTGTGCAGCGTGCAGCTGTGGGGTGAGTGGCTCTGGGCCCTGCTGGGGTCACTGTGGGAAGTGTAGTCCTCGATTCTAGTAGCAAGAGCCTGGGGCACAGAGGTGTGGGGAGGCAGGAGGTACTGGTTGGATGGGAGGAACCTGGGAATGCAAGTGGGTCCCTACGTGGGAGCCCTGAGCCCAAAGAACATGACTGGCCATAGGGAGTTTGCTCTGTGTTCTGATTCTCTGCTTCCCCAAGCAGTCAGTCAGGCTCTGTCAAGCATCATGGCCTTGACTTAGCTGTGCTTGGCCCATTCAAGGGAAACCACATGAGTGACATTTGCAAGGAAGGTGGCAATGGCTCCTCACCCCCCTCTATGTGTGGCCTTTGGTGATGTGCTGTGACTCTCCTGTCAAAGGGGGACCCATTTCCCCACCCTTTGAATTTGAGACTTACATTTTGTGAAGTATTGAAACCCCGAGAGCACCCCCAGCCCCCATGAGGAAGGCCTCATGAGGATAAGTCCCTCTGGGTGACCGCTGGCCACCGAGTGAGGGAGTGACATAGCCTGAGACCAGGGCTCAGCAAGCTTTTGTGTAAAGAGCAAGATAATAGATATTTTAGGCTTTGTGGGGCCACATGCAGTTTCTGTCTCACCTCATCAACTGCTGTTGCAGCATGAAGCAGCCACTGGCAACACATGACTGTATGAACCTGGCTGTGTGCCAATAAAACTTTATTTACACAAACCGATGGCAGGTAGGTTTGCAGTTTGCTGACTCCTGCTTAAGCCTCAGCTGAAGACATCCCTAGATGACTTTAGCCACGCAAGGTGCCCCAGCGTAAGGACTGTGGCTGAGCCCAGTCCAGATGGCCAGACTGCGGGAGTGACAGCCAAGAAAACGGTGGTTGTTTTAAGCCTAAGTTTCGGGTAGTTGATAAGTGGCAATAAGTAGCTCATAGAAGGCAGGACTGTATATGGAACCAGGAGGGATAGCAAGGGAAGGTGAGGTTGAGCCATGCCAGGGACTGAGGATGGCAAGTGTGAAAAATGACCCTCTGCAGGAAGTCCAGGGCGAGTCAATATTCCCAGATATGGCTTGGGATGGGGATATCAGGGCCAGGGCCCAGAAACACTAGGTTACAAGTTGAATCATGTCCCCCAAAATTTATATGTTGAAGTCCAAATCACCAGTGTCTCCAAATGTGACCTCATTTGAAGATAGGGTCACTGCAGATGTAATAGTTAAAATGTGGTCATCCTGGAGTCATCCTGGAGTAGGGTGGGCCCTTGTATGAGTCAGCTGAGGCTAAGTAACAGAACACCCCATATGAGTGGCTTAAACAACAGAGGTTCATTTCCCCACAGTTCCAGAGGCTGGAAGTTGGAGGTCAATGCCTCAGCAGGGTTGGATTCTCCTGTGCCATCTTGTTTGGATCCTCCTGCGGCCTGTCTCTCCCTGCCGTGTAGCTGGCTGCCTCTTTGCTGTGTCCCCACGTGGTCATTCCTCTGTGCACTTGCATCCCTGGAGTCTCTTTGTGTGTCCCAACACCCTCTTCTTATAAGTACCCCAGTCAGGTTGGATTAAGGGCTACTTTGATGGCCTCATTTTCACTTTATAGCCTGTTTAAAGGCCTAATTCCAAATTCGGTTCCATTCTGAGGTTCTGGGGGTTAGGACTTAGACGTATGAAATTTGGGAGGCAGAACTCAACCCATAACATCCCTGAATCCCATGTGATGAGGATCCTCACAAAAGGGGAGCTGGGAGCTGCCATGAACAAGGAGAATGCCACATGAACGTGAGTGGGAGGTCAGTAATGCTGAAGGGCTCCAACCACCAGCAGAAGCTAGGCGAGGGCCCAGGACAGACTGACCCTTAGGGCCTTAGAGGGAACCTGCCTGTCCACACACACCTTGATTGAGGACTTGCAGCCTCCAGAACTGTGAGAAAGCAAATGGCTGTTGTTGAAGCCCTCAGGCTGTTGTACTTTGTCGCAGCAGCCGTGGAAAACTCATAGATGCTGTAATTTAAATTTTAATTAGAGAGATGATACAGTATTTGGTGCCTTGAATGGATGAAGCAGGAGGATTCTTGTGTTAGATGGGAAAAGCACTTAGCGCATTGCTGGGTGCCAGGCAGGCCCGCTAAGGGAGAGCCAGAAATAAGAAAAGGGAAGGAACCTTACCAGTGAAATCCATTTATGAAAACATTGAACACTCAGGTTCTGGCTGGGTGTGGTGGCTCATGCCTGTAGTCCCAGTGCTTTGGGAGGCCGAGGTGGGAGGATCACTTGAGTCCAGGAGTTTGAGACCAGCTTGGGCAACATAGTGAAGCACCATGTCTACAAAAAAATACAAAAAAATTAACTGGGCATGGTGGTGTGCACCTATAGTCCCAACTACTCAGGAACCTGATGTGGGAGGATCCCTTGAGCCTGGGAGGTTGAGGCTACAGTGAGCCTTGCACCACTGCACTCCAGCATGGGTGACAAAGCAAGACCCTGACTAAGAAAAACCAAAAGACTCAGGTAGCCACAGCATCTGCTGCACACTGGAGTCTGATGCCAGATTCTGCAAGAAGGGTGTTCAGGGGGCTATAGGACTGCAACCTGCCTGGTCGGCCAAATCAGCCAAGGATTGGAGAGTAACTTCCCATCCTACCAGGAAGGGCTGGAGCAGAGTGTGCATAAATGTGAATCCAACAAGGAAGCTCAACCTAGTGATTTACGATTGATAGCCAACTGGTCAGACCAGTGGCTTCCCCACCTCTGAGCCAGCTGATAGCAGCAGGGCTGGGGCAGGGCCCCTTCCTGGCCCGCTCCCGATCTCTTAGGAAGCAGGAAGGAAGCTTGACAAACACTGGGCAGAGGACGGCTTGGGGAGTGAGGGGAGCTATACAGTCGTGTCATTCTTGCCTTGTCCAGTGCCCTTGAACCTGATTGACCTCCCCAGAGGTTAGTGAAGGTTGGAGGATGTAAGTCCTGAGCCTGGGAAGGAAAGTGCCAGAGTAGAGGGGGTGTTTTCCATCTGAGGGGTAGCTTGTGAGTGAGCTGGTGCTGGGGGAACTGGGAGGAATTCACTCTGTAGCCAGGTGCCTAGACTAGGGCAGAGAAGCCCAGGCTGTCCCAGCTCAAGCCCAAGCCCCATTTCTACTTCCAGTTTGACTGATGGGAGATGATAGAAACCTGGAAGGGCTGCCGTGACCCTATGTGCAGAGGGTTCACCTGAGGTGAACACCTCCAGCCCCTTCCAGGATTGAACTTCTACCCGCTTCCAGACAGCAGAAGCTTTGCCTCCCTCCTGAAGGAGAGTAGGAGCTTGATTTGGGAAGAGGATAGAGGAGGAGAGAGTGCCCTGGGACTTCTCGGCCCAAAAATTCTTAGCCTGGGCTCTAGCTTCTGGAGTTTGGGGAGTTTCTTTTTGCCTATCTCTGGATGAGGATGAGATTCCAGAGCAGCTGTGATGGCTGGAAGTGGCCAACATGTCTTGAAAGGACCTTGGAAGATGTTGGGCAGATGAGCTGAAGGGGCCCAGTGGTATAGGGAGAGTTGGGGTTTCAGGGAGACCCTCCCCAGCCTCAACCTGGGACCCCACACCGCCCTCACCCTGAGGATGCTGATGAAGGACGTGGATGTCCCTGGCAGAAATCAGCCTCCAGGATAGGCTGCAGTGGCAATGGATGAGTGGGAAGCTGAGCAGGTAAGAGAGAGCAGGGTGGAGATCATTCAGGGACTAACCCACAGTGGGGCTTGAGAGTGTGTGGAAGCCCCCTATTATGGGCTACATTTGTCCCCCAAAATTCATGAGTTGAAGTCCTAAACTCCAATGCCCAAGAAAAGGACTGTATTTGGAGACAGGGTCTTGCAGAGATGATTAGGGTAAAATGAGGTCATTGGGGTGAGCCCTAATCCATTAAGACTTCTAAAAAAAGGGGATTAGGACACAGACATGCACAGATGGAAGACCATGTGAGGACACAAGGAGAAGGTGGCATCTACAAACCAGGGAGAGAGGCTACAGGAGAAACCAACCCTGCAGCACCTTGCTTTTGGACTTCCAGCCTCAAGAGCCATGAGGAAATAAGGTTCTGTTGTTTATACTCCCATCTCTGATTTTGCTACGGTAGCCCAAGCAAACTAAGACTTCCTGCTCCGAGGACACTGTGAACTTAGTAGGGGCTCTTTGTAGGGGCGGTGGTGTTGCCATATTGTGCACGGGCCATCTGTGCTACCCAGTGCTGGGGTCACACTCATTCAGTAGTGGGAGTGAAACCTCCCTGAGTTTCTAGCTGGAGCTGTTGCCTGCAGCCAGGCCTGGGCAAAAGGGCTGCCTGGAGCTTGGGCCCCAGGTCTCAGGGATGTGTATTTTACACTTTGGGTTTGCTATGGTTTAAATATGAGCCTCCAAAATCCAGGTGTTGCCAATGTCCAGTATTCAGAGGTGAGGCCTTTACGAGGTGATTAGGCCAGGAAGGCTCCTGCTGGGAGGGGATCAGTGCCCCCATAAACAGGCTTGATGGAGGAGGTGGTGGCAGGCTTGCCCCTCTGCCTTCTGTAGTGTGAGGGCACAGCACGAAGCCCTCACCAGACCAAATGCTGGTGCTTTGGCCTTCGCCTTCCAACCTGGGAGAAATGCATTTCTGTTCTTGATGAACTGCCCAGTCTGTGGTGTTCCATTTTAGCAGGACAGACGGCCTCAGGGTTATAGTCCCATACTGTGTTATTTACCATGTTGCTCAAATTGCTCCTGCCTTGGCCATTGGGCACTCTCTCCGTTGGCTCCTGGGCACCCTTATCACTGGAGTTTTGTTTTCTGAGCACTTCCTGACATTCTGGCACTACAAGAGGCACCAGGATCATCTCGCACATTATCTGCCCAGCCCCAGAACCAGCCACTTCCCTAAGGAGCCCATCTCCTTTTATTTGGGGAACGGTGTTAGACACCAAGGTCAGGATGTGCAGTGCTCCTTGCTAGGGAGTGCCGTTTCTTCTAGGCCCTCTCAACTAATAAGGCACAGAAACACACATGTGCGCCGATTAATAAACGGCTCTGGGGACATTTCTGCATGTGACCGTCTGCACCTGTGGTAAGCTGAAACATGGGTTCCCACTGACGCCTCCAACTCGAATCCGTCACCACACAGGTCATCCTGGGCTCTGCCCCTTGCTTATCTGTGACTCTCACTGCAGCAGGGAGAAGCTTGCTCCCACTGGCTGCCACTCGTTTCCTTAATCAATCACTCAGCTCCAGGATGCATGCATTGTGGTGTGAGCAGCGCTGACCTGGAGAAGTGGTTTCACTGGCCAGAGCACAGGGCTGTGTACAGTCCTTCCACTTTCCTCTCAGAGGCTCCATTCATGTCCAGAGTTACTCAGCTAACCCCATTTCCCCGTCCCTTCAGAGAGGTTCTTTCATGAATTGTTTTGTTCTGGATTCCTTATGTAAGCAGTTCATTGACTCCTGATGTCACGGTGTCCCTCAGGCCTACGTCTTGCCTAGGCCAGTCAGTGGCACCTGTTACTGGCATCTCACCTCGATGCCTGCTCTCCACACATTTGAGGAGGATGTGAGTCTTATGGCGCCACATTCTTTCTCTCTCTCCCCTTTCCACACGCCCCACCTGCCACCGCCCTCACCCTGGACCAGCGATCCCCTCTCCCTGATCACAACCTCGGCTTGGCTTCCTTCTGGCCTCTTCCCTGGAACCCAGCCTCCCTGCCGAGCTGTCCTGCCGTGAGGCCAGCACTATCCCTCTCTGTCTGCACACTTCGCAGCATGTGAACGAAGTCCTCCTTCCACCTGGAGAACCCATGGAGAGAGCGCTGCTGCCGTTTTGGGGGAAATGGTCCCAGAGCTTCCTCATCATGGGGCAGAAAGACTTCTTTCCACATAGGAGACTCACTGCACTCCCCGGGAGAGAATCCTTAAACTGCTGCCCCGAAAATGCCCCCGTGAGGCCTTCGCACTGAGCCCTAATCAAGCCATGACTTACACAGAGAACCAGGGCAGGCAGAATCGCGGAACGCCAGGGTCACACCTGAGGATTTCCCCTAGGCCCTGTGTCAGCCCCTCCTCTGGAATGAGGTGCTCGTCCCGCGGCCGGCTGGGCAGGGGGCAGCCTTTGGGGAATTTCTTTGGCTGAAGAGAACTGGCTCACACAAGGCCACATGTCCTTCCGGTGACTGATGGACATCAGGGAGAGCCAGCCCTGCCTCCCTATCTTGGGTCAATTCTGCAAGGCCGCCAGCTTTCCAACTCCCTGGGGGGTGGCTGAGGCCTGCGTCAGGGTTGTGCTGGACTGAACGAGTCCCTCCACCAATATTCACTTCCTGCCTGCCCTCCACCAGTGTGGGTCGCCAGGGCAGCATGCTTCCTGCATGTCCCTGCCCATCTCAGAGTCTGCTTCAGGGAGACCAATACCCTGCTTAGAGCAACGAGCTGGCCAGGTAGGTGCCCCCATCCCAGCCAGGCCACGGCGCTCCTCCCTGCATGGTAAGGACCCAGCTTGGTAGCTGGGACGCTGGCTCTCTGCCCAGCCCCCACTCAGACGCAGCCTGTGCTCAACACGGGGCTGCTGCGGCTGGAGACATGGAGTCCAGACAAGGGGGAGCTAAGGAGGTTCTCACCAGAGTCTAGAATTCAGGTGGTCTCAGGGGAACTAAGTGAGGAGAGCTGGCAGCAGGAAAGGAAATCACTGGGCCTGGGGGCTCTGGCCAGCTGGGGACGCACAGCCCAGGCCAAGGGGATGGCTCCCCCTTAGCCAGCAGATAGTCACCATGCAGCAGAGGCCCAACATGACCTATTCTGGTTCTTAAAGACCAGCTAGAAATCCTGACCTTTATGTGAAATATCCTGGTCTTTAACGCTGATTCCACTTCTCAAACACAAGCAAAGAAACAAATAAAACCCAAGTATGGCTGAGTCTCCCACACAGCAGTGAGAGGAGAGAGGAGGTGCTATAGCCCCAGCTGCGTCCAGGGTCATTGGCACCCTCTTTTAGACTACTATCTAGCAATTCCCCTTAGGACCTTGCCCATGGCCACCATCCCACTCATTTCTCTCCTTTGTTCATGGACACATGTCCTGTTGCACAGTCTTTGTCCTCTCCTGTGGTCCAGCTCTTCTTTGATCCCCTGAGCCCCCAGTCTGCCTCCTAGAGGGAGTCCCTGTGAGCCCGCTGGATGGTGGCCCATGTTCAGGCCCCGTGCTGGAGGCTGGGCAGGGCTGATGGTGCCACGCTGGGCATGGAAGAGCCCGGTGACCCGGGAAGGGTGCTAGGTGGTCAAG